GGTGTGGGGGGGGGGGGGGGATGTATCAAGTGGGACTAATTTTCTTTTGAGAGTGAGAGGAGCAAATATGATCATTATGTAACCTAGTGTCGTCAAATAACTGCTATAGCGTCACTTCACTATAGTGCTGTGGTCTTGTGGAAATCCTCCAATCTGCTATTGTGACATCATTGCTGTCCACCAGTCCCAGTGTCTCACTCCCCCCACTCATCCAGAAACTCTTAATTTTCTCCCATACATGTTATGTAAACCCCAGTTCATGTAAGGAAGGACTCCTTTACTGTCTTTTGTGTTTAACTTCTTTTTAATGTTTTCATCAATATTTTGTCTGGAATGTTTGAACTTTTTAGTTAATATTATGTCTTTTTTTTTTTTGTACTTTATTTTTGTTTGCATACAACTTTTTTATTTTATTATATATATATATAATTGATTTATTTCAACTGCTATATGTCTTCCGCTATTTAGCTATTCACTATATAATATAGTGGAATTTTTGCTTTCCACTATTTTCTTCAATCTGCTATTGCTAACACTGATGTGACCTTTTAAGTAACTTTAACCATGGCCATCTATGTGGTTATATGATTAAGATGTACACTCATAAAAATTAGTCCTTTTATTTGATACACCCCTATAAAAATGTCTTGTTTACATACTCTTAACTCCTCACATCCACCAAAATAAATATTGGAGTTTAATGATTGTTTATTTCTGTAGGTAGCTCAAGCAACATCCAAGCAGATGTCCAAGCGGGATCCTTTGAGACGTTATATGAATGTCATTGATGATATGCTATCTGAAATGGTATTGAGCTTACATTATTTGATTACAAAACCTGGATTATTTTCTTTATTTAGATCTAACCTTCAAACTTTCAGTTTAGGGAAGACCCTTCCTTCAAACCACAAGGTGGTCGATTAGGGGAAAATGATATGGATTATGACACAGATGAGAAGTCAATGGCAACACTAAGGCGTCATCTTTGGGGAGCTCGTGAGGAGTATTACAGATATAAAAGGTAAAAACATGATCGATTTGGTTTTGGTCTCGAAGTGGTAATACTGTTATTCTCTTGAAAAGGTGTTTTTGAATCCTTTACAGCAGTTGTGGTCAATTCAATTGTTATATTCTTACAAAAAGGAAATTCACCTATTAGACCTATATATTTTTTGTTCATATTAAAGATAAATTGATAATGCCATTTCCAACTGTTATTCATCAGATTCATGAAAATCAAATTGCTGTTCTTTTCATGGCTCACACATATTACTTTTAGTTTTTTTCCTATTAAATTATATATCCTGTTGAATCTTACAACTGGGCTGGTTAATATTTCTGCTCATTAATTTCAATCCTTTGGTTTTACTTGAACTTCGAAGAGTTTCATCTTTGCTTTTGTAGCTTTATATTAACATGAAAGACCTTGTAAAATCTGTTGGAAAGCCATCTTAATTGAAGTGTGCACTTTTGGGACATCAGCCTATAGGGGGTTGCAATCCCACAGTTTTTCCTAATTATTTTAATTTTTAAAAAACATTTCACAGAAAATTAAAATATAACCAAACACGTTTTCTAAATATACCTAGGAATAACATTCCAGTTAAAATATTCTTGGGAATGCAATTCCCGCGGATGTAATATAATACTTTGAAACAAACGTCTTGTTGGAATTTTTCTAAATTCCTTTACTGATAGCCAAACATTTTGCAATATTGTTACTTGTGCAGCGAATATATGACTTATGTATTGGAGGCACTTGAATTGGAAGATACAATAAAGAATTATGACCGCCGCAACTCAACTGGATGGTTTGCTTCTAATTTTACTTTCTTTTCTTTTCCAATTCAAAATCCTTGTACAATGTATTACATGTTCTTCCTCCTCACCTTAAACAATTTTTTCTGCTCTAATTTCAGGGAATATAATTCAAGCATTAGACCTGCTCGGACTGGCAAGTTGGGGTCCCTATGTGATACTTTAGGTAATAATGAGAATTACTGGTGAACCCATTGTTTCCTAACTTCACTTGATCTTTCTTTGCTGAATCTTGAATGGCATTGACCAATTTTAGTTTGTAAATTTGTTTCCAAGTATTTTTTGCGATACCAGGAGCATTTTACCCTTTCTATGTATAAAGATATTAATGAAAAGATAAAGCTACATTTCCTACTTTCTCAGTTGTACTTGCGTCCTATGAAAATGAATACTCCTATATTATAATTCTATTTTACATATTTTTCTTGTGGTACAAAATTGTATATACATATAGTACAAATTAAACTGACCTCCCTTGGTTTTGAAATGAGAGGATTTTAATGTAGTATTTACAGACCTGGTGGGTTGTGGGAAGTCAGCCCAATTCGCTCATACATATCTAATTACCTATGTTGTTTTTGGCTTCGAAGTTTGTTGAATTTCATCTCACGTATGTCTTACCTTTCTTGATTAGGGTTCTTGCTACATCTTGCATTATATTATATAATCATACATTGGTGACTCCTTGGAGTTTGGAATATTTTGGTTAGAGCTTGATATTCTAAATAAATGGTGATTCTTTGCAGAATTTTTCTGGAAATGCATTTTAAGGAAACAAGTTGAGAAAGGCCTGGCTGTTATACTCGGTATCATGTCTGTAGCAATTCTTTTAGCTGAGGCAACTCTTCTGCCTAGCGTTGATCTATCGCTTTTTTCCATTCTTATAAAATCTGTCGGAACACAGGAGGTCCTTGTGCAGGTAGATCAAATATGTTGGTAATTTTTTTTAACGTAATGGACATTGAGATGGTGTATATTTATTTAAAATATTTTTTCATATTTTCAACAGAATTTTTGGATGAAAATTCAGTTCAGAGATTTTGGAAATCATCTATCATACTAAAAAAACTTTAGTCTTATCATATTTCATATTAACTTTTTTGGGATCGAGTGAACTGTTTTTCATCTATCTCCTTTTATTTTTTGAAAGTAACTTTCATCCTTTTGGTTTAAGGCTGTATATTGATGCAACCCCATGCTCGAGGTTTTCACCTACTGGGGTTTGGGAAGTGTAGATGTATGCAACCTTACCACTGCTAATGGATAGACTGTACATAATGCACAAATTGCTAATAGAATAGTATCACATAATGTGTCTTTGCTTGGATAAAATGCTTTTGATTCTACTTTGCTACTATACTAGTATTATTTAAAATAATAAAATTTGAAAATTAGTACAAGCTTCTTTTTGAATCGCACCTCAATGTTGTATTATCTGTTCTTGCATCACAAACAAAGCTTCATCATTCATGTTGATTTAGTGTTTAATGTGACTAGTACCCCAATATTGTTAAAAATATGAATATATTTATAACAATGTGAATCATGCATTATTTTATATATTTGATTTACTCTTTGATCTTTGAAGGGCTGTGCAAAGTCATTTACATTCAATTTCTTATCCAGGTGTTTGCTTTTGTTCCTCTTATGTACATGTGCATCTGCACGTACTATTCATTGTTCAAAATTGGAATGTTGATGTTTTACTCACTGACACCCAGACAGACTAGCTCAGTCAACTTGCTTATGATATGCTCGTAAGATTTTATTCATTTAGTTTAACAATCACTTATTTTTGTTACGGCTAACTTTTGTTTATTGAATTGCCTTTAATGTTGAATGAATACTAGTTACATTCTATCGTTGTTCCCAGGATGGTTGCTCGTTATGCTCCTCCTATCTCATACAACTTTCTCAATCTCATTCGTCTTGGTTCTCATAAAACAACTATATTTGAACAGGTATTCCTCATATTTTATGAATCCATTGACTGCCAATTCTCTTGAAAGTGTTATTTTTCTTGCCCAATACAGCAAAATTGTGGGCACTGGGCAGGTTTCATGTGCTGTCTACTATGATACTTCCTTTTCTTGCTTATCTTTTTGGGTCATATATCAAATGACTTCCTAATAATCCTACAAATTACCATTCATGGTTATAATGGTTTGGTGCATGGCATATTGTAGCTTCTAAGTAAAAGACACTGCATTAACTATTTTCTTCATTGAGTTCATTGACCCAAGTTTATTTTCTTCTTTTTTTATGTTCTTTTCTTGTTCTAATGGTTTTGTTATCTTGTATATAGTTTTACACACCTTTTATGATATTTAATAGTTTTTCTACGGCTAAGCTAGTAATTGCTAAATTATCTGAACTTCTGCATCAACACGTATTTGCTCCTTTTCCCGAGTATTATTTATTTATTTTAATTGGTGCGTGGTGCGGCTATGATTGCAGAGAATGGGTAACATTGACAACGCAGTTCCTTTCTTTGGGGATAAATTTAACAAAATCTATCCACTTATTATGGTTATATACACCCTTTTGGTTGCAAGCAACTTCTTTGATAAAGTATTTGATTTTCTGGGAAGTTGGAAGAGATATATTTTCAAAACTGAAGCTGAAGATATGGATGGTTTTGATCCATCAGGATTAATTATTTTACAAAAAGGTATGAAATAAAACTTTCCATTGTTGTTAAAAATTTAGTTCATGTTACTAAATGGCAAATCATATCTGAATGAGTGAAAACCAACTTTTTGATACTCATGGTTGATGACTGATTTCATATTATTAATAGAGCGGTCTTGGCTTGAGCAAGGATGCAAAGTAGGGGAGCAAGTTGTTCCACTTGCAAGGAATTTCAATAATATTGATATTGAATCGGGCACCAATTTTATGGTATGTTGTCATACCTCCCAAATAGTGGGAGCAATCCTGTCTGACTTGTTTCATTTGTGACTAATTTCTTTTGGTAAAATACAGTTTTCATCTTATCTTTTATTTATTCAGGAGAGGAATGGTGTTGAAATGAAGACAACTTCCAATTTAATTTCCGATGAAACAAATGGAAGTCCGTCAAAAACTTTGAAAGAAGACACAAGCAAATATGGCTCGAGCAGGGAAGCCCTCACCAAGAAGTATGCTGCCATTAGAGAGCCTGGTGGACCGACATCTAAGTTGAAGTCAGAAGAGAAAAAAGTAGCATCTGCTGATTCCTTGTTGGACGAAGGCCATACTAATTCTAGAAATTCAGCTGGAGTGCCATCTTCAGCTTTGACTTCAACGTGGCAATCGATGAAGACGGGCTTTCAGAGTTTCAGGGCGAACATGGGAGCTAAAAAGTTTTTACCCTTGCGACAAATACAAGAAAACAAGGTCTCTCATGATTCATCATCTGAGTCTCTTGATGAGATATTTCAAAGACTCAAACGACCATCTTTAAACCAATCTATTTACAATGACGACGACTAAGATGGTGGCCCATACTTACAAGTGATATCCATAATTTTGAAAGGACTTGCAAGTGTAAAAGCGTTCTAGGATTGGGAATGCGGGTCCATATTATCATGTACAGTAATGGGAAATTTTAAATGTTGTACTTAGAAAATGACAATTATACTTGATTTCCCATGCAGATCAAAGAGGGAAAGATAGTGTGCTATACGGAAACTCCTATACGTTGAAAATTCAATCTCACACAAAAGCTTGCTGATCCTTAGAAAGAATACTTCAAATTGTACCAGTGGACGGTGTCAACCGATGTTTAAATGTTTTGTATGGTTTTTAATGCATAATTTCATTTCATAGATGATTACTTGGATGGGACTGCATTAGTTTTGTGCAATATTTTCCATGTTTTGCTCACGAATTTAGTACTTGTTCATTTTTGTTGTAGATTATAATTATCTAGAACAAATATAAAATCCTTATGCGTAGACTTTCTCGTTGAGACGAGATGATATGTAAAGCAAAATGAGTTGGTGCAGTGCAGCAGTGATAGCATCTCTACTTTATGTTCTGCGCAACATAGTACGTAGAGTTGCAACAGTGCAAGATTTTTCCCATTTATATTCGCTCAATATAAATTAGAAAAGCCTCGTTTTTTTTTTGTTCTATGACTCTATGAGGACTGTGATCTCATTTTCATATATATTATTCTTATGCACATTGGTTTGCCCTCTCCCCAGTGCCCACCCTTCGCATAGCAATTCATAAAAAAAAAATTTGAGATCAAGTTACTTTTGGTCCAAATAATTTAACTTATATATGGATTTTAATTTAAAATTATAATCTTATAATTTATTAATGTATTTAATATAAATACATCGACTGTACAAGGGATTTGAATTTTTAAAGTCATTGTCATGAATAATAAATTTATTGATTTTTATAATAAGTAAACCATATTAATACAGTAAATCGAAAGAGAATCGCTTGCAGTCACTAAGCAATATTAAATTTTACTATTAATTTTTTTGTATAATGTAAAAATTAAGGTAAGAAATAGTCAATATTGTAAAAAATTTATAATGTCAGTACATGAAATTATGAAAATTATTTTTTTATTAATATATTAAGATCATAATCGCTTGCAGTCACTGAGGATTGTTTCCTGCAGTTGAGATCCAGTGTTTTTAAAACCTTTTAGTGCATTTGTTGTTAACATTTTAAAATATAAAAATTAAAATCAATGGTTGAGTTTTATATAATCATTTTATCTGCTGGTATATATCCAATTCCACACTCAAATTAAATCCTTTCTCCTTTTCATTTTTTGTTTACTGAATTTGTTACTGCGAGGAATCATGGGGATTTTTATAGAATTAGAATTTAAAATATTTGAAAAGCATAATGTTTATAATATACTAAAAATAATACTATATATTTCATAAGAAAAATAATTTTAAAATCATAAAAAAATCTACTAAGAATATTTGTTAACATTTCTTATTCTTAAATTTAATTATTTATCATATTTAATAAGAAAAAGTTTCAAAACCTAATATAGGTGTATTGCCAGTATTGGGTGAGCCAATGAAAGTACTATGATCTTTTCATACTGTTAAAACTGTTCAATCAATTCAGGAAAATTGAATCCCCGCATATTCCCGTTGAAATAATTTTGTTGAAAATAATGACAAGAAAGTAAAAATAAAAAAAAAATCTAAGAAACATTTTTGTTTTAAAAGAAACAATAAAAAAAAGATATGATATATATATATTGATAATATAATTAATAATTATAGCAACTAAAATATTGTGCAGTAGAAAAAAAAACAAAAAAAAACATTATTATTAGTTATAAAACAAGTAAGAATATATGGATAAATGAAGGGGTGAAAGAAAGAGAACAAAGTATATTAATGATATAGAATTCTAATATGTAAATTACATACCATATACAAAATTAACACTCAATTTCAAATTCATGAGAGTTACTATGACTATTTCAATCATTTCCTATATCATCAGATCGGGCTGCGGCCTGCGGTCGCTTCGTGCAATGTTTTAAAAATCAGTTTCTACGTAATGATCTGCTCACATTCGATTTAGCAATGAATAATTAATTCCACCAACAACAAAACTGTAAACAGTTCTAACTAAGAAACTGATTAAGTGGGCGGGGTAAGTATGTGATATCGTATGCCATATTGTGGGATGTTTGAATGATGACTTCGTCAAAAATTATTGCCTATTTTTTATTTTTAATGTAACCTGGTCAATTTCTTGAAGCAATTAGTCATAAGAATTTTTAGTTTGATTTTTTTTGGAGAAGAAAATTTAATTAATTAATTTTTTAGTTTTAATTAATGATCAGATAATTGGTATAGTTGACTTACTAGTGATTCAAACCAAAATAATAAGTAAATGAATTTTTACTTGTAAGTAGTATTTTAGCAAGTGGATGTTAAATGTTTATTATATATAACTAAAATTTATAATAAAAATATTATATTTTTATATATAAATTATTGGATAAAATTTGTTTCTAATTATGAACTTTTGTCTATTTTTTTTCTATTCTCTTAACAAATTTTTTTTTCATTAACTTTAG